TCTCGATGAATGTTTCACGTCTCAGGCGGCATCCCTTTTTACTTCTTTCATTCCCACTATCCTATCCTTTTTTTCTATTTTTAATACGCTTTTAACTATAATTTTAGTTTTTGCACTTTACTTTGACGCAGAATGTATACACACACACACACTTAATGCTGAATATAAAGAGAGAGACAAATATTTTTGCTCGAATAACCGTTAATAGTAAAATCTGAAATTAGATTTCTGTATAAAATATGATTATGGCATCGTTCTCATCCAAATGAAAGAGCCGCGCAATCTATGCACAACGATGTTGTTCGAAAAACGGAAAAATCAGTTACATACAATGCAGTAAATGGGACCTCAAACCAAAAGGTAAGTGTTTAACAAAAGATTTTCACTCCCTCACTCAAAATTCTCTGTGACTCAAACAACATTGTCGCCTTTTGTTGTGCCAATGCTCATGCTAGAGTCGAAATTTAAATAGAGAGAGAGAGAGAGAGTAATGGAGACGAAAAAAGGCAAAGTATCCAACACGAATGGAAACCATGAAAAATTATTATTGTTTTGTAATATCGTTGCATTCGTACATTGTTGCTGAGATCACAATAAAATCGGTACGTTCTCTTGCACTCGTGTTTCAACGGATGCGTGTCTGTCGATCCATGCTTACTCAACTAAGTCACTCCTCGCCGTTGTTGGTGTTGTTATTACTCTTTTTTTTTATCGCATACATTCTTCTTTAACTCGCTCATAACCGTCTCATACAAAACTTTGCAAAAGCAAATTCCGACTGGATTCATATTTTAACATTCATAAGCGTTCGTGAAATCCCATGCACATCGTTTGACGTGGATCTTAACTTTTTTTTTATGTATGTGTGTGATATTTTGTTTGCTGTTTTCTTTTTATTATTCGGGCATGAACGAAAAAAACAAACCGCTTTTTTGTGCAAAGAGAGAGAGCGAGAGAGAGAGTGCTCTCTTGTGTGATGCGAATATTCTGGCAGGCGATCCCATGTACTTTATGTGTGTGCCTTATGAATGGAAAAAGTTAGATGACATCTTTTTAAGAAAAACACACTCGAATCACATCGAACACATGAGGCAAGCCGTTTTGATTCTGTGCGCAGTTTGTGACTTGGATGTGTCATTCATATTTTTTGCTGTCGCTATGTGTATGCAATGTGTGAGTGTTTTTTTGTTGTTGTTGGTCGGTGTTGATTACAAAGATGTACGCGCGCCTATTTTAAAATTCAGCTCATCTCTGATACTCCGTTTATACACACGATTGCAAACAAACGACATTTTCGCACTAAGACTTGCGTCGCAGTTCTATGTTCTTTCATATATCCGGTCTCATTGTACTTAATTGTGTATCATTCTGCTCCGAGAAAAAAAAAAGAAAGAAAATTTAATTTATTTATTTTATCTCAGTCGCAATTTCATATACACGCAACCATGCGAAAGCATTCAAATTGATTTCGGCCACCAATTCACTTGAGAATTCAAAATCAAATGGACCATGCATTGAAAATCAATTGAACCTTTTGCGCTATTCGGTGAAATGCGTCTCGCCGAAAATGTTTGACAAAACAAACCATCCAATACTTTGTAAGCCAAACAAAACCAAATTCAATATGAATTGATGATGTTATAAATTGAAAGCAAAATTAGCGTTAACTTGATTATATATGTCCATGGAGATACAGTGTTGTGTTGTTTGGTTTTTGCTTTGTATTTGGTGGCTGTCGGTGATTTTCATGGCGATACCAAAACGATATCGAATGGATTGTTTGATAAATTGACGTCTTGATTATATGCACTGTATTTATTATGCGAGTGTGTGCGTGTGTATGTGATCGCTGACTAATTTAGATCGGGCGGTCTAAAGCAATTTAATGCAGCGCATTCGATGAGAGATGTTGTTTCTAGCTGCTGGCAAAACAATCAATCAATCGCAATCGAATACAATTGTTTGTCGAACAGTGTATGTTACGATGTGTGGTTTTATTGCTTTAACAAAGACCATTCAATGTTATCCATTGCAGCAATTCAGTATAAAATGACGTGAGCATAACATTATCAAGCTATCAATAATCAAATATGACTAGTTTATTTCTTGTTCATCTCTTCAACCATCTTAATCTATTGTTTAAGAAATTCATGGTGCTCGTTTGATTTTATTAATCCATTTGTTTTTGTTTGATTTCATGTACGATGTGAGTGTTGCTCAATGTACTTACACACACACACATAAGAGAGAGAGAGAGAGAGAGAGAGAGAGAGAGAGAGAGAGACCAAGACCCAAAGGAGAACAAAGAACTAAGTGAACGTGATGGATGGATAATATAGTTTCTCTTTTTTCCCTTCAATTCCATTGTGAGCAGATATTGCACACATTTCATGGTTTCCATTTTTTGATTCTTATCAATTCAACTAATTATAAATAATTGACGAAGATAAACAAAGTTATTTCTGTTTCTTGATGCATTTTGCAGCTCACAGTTGTAACGGACACATTGGAGACGGGCAAATGCTATTGTTTTGATCGACAGAACTGGTGTATGTTTGTGCTTGCAAGCATTATCGTCGGTCGATGTTTAGGTGCAGCTCATGAGAGAAGCAAAGCAAATTGTTTTATCTTTCGTGTCTACATAAGAGATATGCAATGCAAACGAAAATTAATTGATTGAAACGTTATGCATTTGTTACACGAGACAATAAAGTTGCTGGCAAACCATCGTCAAAAGATCCAAAATATACAAAACGTTGAATTAAATGGATGAAAGAGTAAATAAAGACAAACATATACATTGACACAGACTGATTTCACATGAGCCACTCAAGTCAATACCAGTTGATTCATGATCGAAGACATTCTCACTCGCAGTTTCGAAAATGAGGATTTACAATTTTACAATAAGGCAACCGACGTAATGGAGATACCACAAAATAAACCACACGCACATTCGCCTTCGCACAGTAGTAGCAGAAGCACAAAAGCAACAACAACAAAAAAAAGAAGAAATAAGCAAATTAGAAGAGAGCAAAAAATAGCGCACTGGTGAAATATTGTTAATTATTTTTATAGTTTCTTCTTCATTCTCACCATAATTATATCTATTGGTGTTTGAATGTTCGCATGGAATGGCACGACTCGTAGCTTATTGCTCATAGACTACATACTCAAAGGCACTATGCTCATTGCGATTTGTGAGTATTTACTACATGCTCTAAATATATATATATATATATGTGTATGTGTGTATGTGTGATTTGATTCATATTTGTACTTTGCCTGGCGATCCGTTTTTTTTTTTTATTATTAGCTGATCTTTGACTGTGAGCCAAGATGAATATAAGAGTTGAGCTCTTGCTGCCGCAAGCTGAACAATATCGACATAGACATTGAATGAGTCATAAAAATCTGCATTAAAAACCATTCCAAATCAAGTGAACCAAACGAGAGTGAGATGAGATTGGTTGAGTGTGTGAGAGCGAATGAGAAAGAATCGAAGGAAGAGAAAAAGCTGAAAATGAGCAAAACGCGTATGCCCCAAACGAAACTCATAAAATACATATCAAACTATTTATATTCCCAAAGCCAAATGAAATGTGGCTAAGATGCGCGTTTCAAATGTGCTACAGTACAGATTTCAGTTTCAGTTTCTGTGTGTGTTTTTTGTTCTCCTTCTGATAAAAGCATTTGTTTGGGTAATGAAGACTGCAGTGAAATATAAATGCTTTTGATGATGAAAATATGTGCGTTTTTCTACTTCATTCTCGTTCTTAAGGCAAACCAACGATTTTTTTTCTTTCTTCATTTTATTCATTTGTTTTTTCTCTCTCTTCACTTTCTCGGTTTAAAGACCTTTTTTTTTCAATCCACTCGCATTCGAGAGATAACATGATTTGTGTGCACTTCATCAGCTTCGTGTGTAATCGTCTTCGATTGGGCAAATATTTCAAATGACTTTTTGTTGTTTATTTAATCGTTATTAGCACTTCTTGTATTGAATGAAATCAATTTAAAAGCGTATCGGTATCGAATATTGAAAAGAAAAAAAAATTAATTAAAATCGATATCGGTTGGGGGTGGGCGGTTTGGCTATTGCATTTATCGGCAAACACCACAGCATATAAATGAATCTCAATTGAATTTCCAAATAAAATAACAGAACATAAGTGATATGTGATGAGAGTGGCCACTGAATTACGATTGATGTTATTCATCATTGGGCCATACTCTCTGGAGAAATGGAATATTTTTATTTTACTCAGCATTTTAAATTTAAAACAGAGAGAAGAAGAAAAAAACACAAGATTAATTTCAATGTCGTGATGTAAATATCCTATGAACTTCTGTTCACATTTAACAGAGCTGACAGAGACCAACTGAATGTGGCTCATGTGACAAATTGTTTAACGATTTTAAATTCTCCGTCATTTTCGTGTGGCACATTGCAATCGTCTAAATAAATGGTAGCCTAAACATAATTTGACGCGGCGACGTGTGAAAAAAAAATGGTTGTGATGGCGCGAGCGCTCCTATTTTCAACTTGTCTACGACGATTAACAAAAGAACTGGAATTTAACATTTCGTGTCGAATGAAGATAAAATTGTTTAACAAACCGCTAGAATGCAATTAGGACGTTTCAACAATTTGTTTAAATGTGAAATAAATATCGGCCAGAACGAGATTCATGAGATGTATGTCGCCATTGACAACGCAAACATTTTGGTTTTCTTTAGAAAATTTGAAACTTGTTTGATCTTTTTCTTTTTCTCGTCTCGAGGACGCGTTGAAAATTTATGGTTTGCATCACTATCAATCAATCGAAATGCATTAAAAATATAGTCACCTAAAAACGGTACAGTCGTTGATAGACAAAGCAAAGTCTTAGTGATTTCTCTTTTCGTTTAAATTTGGTTTTTCAAAGAAATGAAACCCATATCATATGGGCCATATGGGTTTTCAACGAGTTTGAAAAAAAATCGCTAATATTACTCACCAAATCGGTATTCACTTGAATCTCTCACGTGTCAGCAAATTACGGCAGAAACTAGGGAATGGAAGAAAGAACAAATAATATTTTAAAATAAAACATCGAACAAACTCATTAAATTTTTAAATTTGGAGATTGTAGGCGCTGGTATGGGCAAGTAAAGTGTAGCATAATTTCGATACATGTAAAACATTTATTTTAAAAGAACAATAGAATTTATATGAATAATTCACCGAAATGACATTTAACTATTGTGTATATGCATGTAGCTCGTTTGCATTTCACTCTTTTCTCGCTTCGGCAAAACTAATCGAAATCAAATGAATTATACCGCATTTGTTGATTGCTTATGCGTTCGGCAAGAGTGTTTTGCGAGTGTTGTTACCATTGCCTTTTTTCCGTTTTGTTAATTGAGCTATTTAAAATGGAATGAGCAGCGTTTGAGTAATTCAATTGCGTATGCGGCTATTGAAGAAAAAAGACGCAAATTATTTATTTACACAAAATGAGTTATTGCTAAAATATTGATGTGTGTGTACGAGAGTTTTTTTCTTTCTTTATTCTTTCATTTTCTTATGTCGATTGGGTTCCTTTTTGTCGACGTTGTTGATGATACATCGCCCGCTAATATAATCGATATACAAGCACCAATTGAATAGTTGGTATTTTTTCTGAGTATGCAAATTTCGTTACACCACTTCTTCTTCTTCGTGGTGTTTTTTTTTGCCTTTGCTGCAATGGAAAAACGAAAGAAAAGAACAAAAATCACGTTGTATTTTGTTTGCCTGTTACAACCCGTAAACACTATATCACAGAGTGACATAGTGCAACTTCGGTTACACTCATATCATGATAATATGAGGCCGACAGTTTGCACTTCATATCTATAGTACCAAAGTATCTAAGTATATATCACCATAGTATGCTACAAGCGTACTATGAGTGAGTGTGCAGCCTCCACGACTACCAGAGGTCTGATATATATACGAATTGAAAACATATTATACTTAAAACATTTAAGTCGGAGTTTAGTGAATTATAAAAATTCGCAAAATGAAAAACGCATCACACAAGAACGAAAGTAAGAGCGAATGAAACAAACATGTAAATATACAGCACGCGCTAAGTATGTGTTAGTGCATTCATTGATTTTTCATTGGATGTGAAATCGAATCATGTGTTTCATATAGAGTCCTTTCATTCGCTCTTCTTCGAGAACATTCGCTGTCGTTTCATGTATTTTTCATTGTGCAACATTTTATAATGGAATATATGAGTGTATGATTTTTTTTTTAAATTTCAAAAATTAAGTTGAAAAATATATAAAAAAAAAACATGTGTCTCAATTGAATAAAAAAAGGAAAAAAAAAATAAAAAAAAAATTCGCACGATCAAACGGTATTTTGTTTGCCAAAGCGTATTTTGGTTCGTTTACATATATTTTTTCTTCGGCGTTGCACATAAATTTATTAAATTTTCGTTTTTCTTTAAATGGCTTTTGTCAACGACAAAATATTGCAATTTTATTGTAGCGATATATATAGTGATGTGGTCGTTGTCATCGTCGTCGTTGTCGTCATTGTCAACGTATGGCTTGGCTCACCCAGTGTGCGCGTCCCGTGTTCGTGATGAGGATTGAACAAACGTTGTGAATAAACGCGCATTTTTCTTTTTAAAGTTGTGCCATTTTGTGTAAATTATCAAAACGACAAACCAAAGACAGAATGAGGTATATTTATATGCATTTGACTTTGACACGCATAAGGCGCAATGCATATTGTCATCATTTACTGAATAAACTCAATTCAATATATGTATATACTTGTATGATATACAAATATATGCAAAATTGTATGACGCATATACCACTTTTCTTGTGACTCTTGCTCTCAGGCCTTATTGACTTTAAGCAAACAAATTCGAGAGCAATTTTCAAGCAAAAGAAAATCCAAACAACGATGAGTTTAAGAGTATACATGTAACACACTCTCTGTTTCTATCGTTACACTCTGTCTGGCAAGTAATTTACTTCAGGGTATTTCGTTTTTTTTGTTGTGCATTTGTGTGTGTGTGTGTGTGTGTGTGTGTGGTTTAAGGCGAAAAACGTTATATAAATTGTGGCTTATTGCAATTTCTTGTCTTGTCTCTACGTTGCCATCAAGTGACAAACTAAGACCACATCAATGCTAAGAGTCTGAGGCAAAATGAAGAGACCAATTGAGAAAAATTTATACAATAATCGGACAACTGTTTTTCCCCTGTACTGATCATTTACAATGTATTAGCAATGGCGCTTCACACTCTACAATTTACGTAAGGAATGTTTTCTTTTTTCACTTCGATATTCCGAAATGAAAAGCAGAGAAAATTGATTTGATAGACTGGCACCATGGTATAGTCAGCAATATTATCAACCATTCGATAAAGAGTGAAAAGGGTGAAAGGCGTAGAACAAGAGATTTAAAGATAATGAACGATTTTTACTGTTGCATGAAATTAAATTGAGAACAATGATTATAGCGTGTGCATGAATTGTGTTGCTTGCACTTGTATATGGATGCTAAGCTGCTGTCAAACAGACCAAACATTGTTTGAATCTGAAGCGGTTGTCACTTGTGACACATCTTTCTCTTTTTAACTACGCACCATAAATTCATTCACTCAATACATATACCATATAACTATAGTTTCAAGTGGAATATCTCACGAAACCATTCCATAATGCCTTTATGTTCCACTTGTGCAAGTGGTAACGCATAGATATGCCCAAAAAATAACGGACTAAAAATCATTATTTCTCGCATTTTGTTGACAGACTTACAACGATCAGTCAAACATACATATCGATAAAGCGAGTGAGATAGAAGAGAGACAGAGAGATAAAGATAGCGAGCAAAAAGGCGACAGAGAAAAATGGAAAGAAAAACTTTATGTCAATCTGAAAGTGTGCAAGAGACTCAATTTCACTCAACTGCATTTTTCACTCTAATATTTCATGTGCATGTATCTCATCATGTCACAATGGCAATCCATTCAACAATCGACCATATCACTATGGAATTCTTTTCTTCTTGGCTTTTGATTCTATTTCAATTCCTTTTCTTCTCTTCAATTCACCTAATGCATTACGCTTCAAGTGTTTCGCTTCAAATCCAAAGGGAGCAAGCGTAGCAAACATCAACCAAATTCCATTCTAATACGAAATATATAGATGAATTACTGTGTGCACAAGAATTTGATTTATATTAAAAGAAATTTGTTAAATGCACACACACACACACACTCATACACAATTATGGAATTTCCGAAGTCGTACAATTTGTTAGACATTTTCAAGCGCTGACAAGACGTATTAAAATAATAAATTTAACTAATTAAAACATAAATTTTTCGGGTTTTGTAACCATATGAATGGCACTAGAACAAAATAGCCATGAGTTTTATGTAAAGATTGTGTTAATTGTGTTCAATCTAATTGACCGAAGAAAATTGAAATTTTATTTTTCGTTCACTCTTCATTTTTGTTGAGTTGAATGCTATGCATAGCGACGACATTAAAGAAAATATATGTAGAAACAACGAAAACTATATTAAACGTGATCATATCGTATGATTACATTGGTTTGATTTGGTTTGTTTTAGACATGCAATCTAAAATCATATGCATGTATGAGTTATCCAACTAATAACAATAATCATGCTGGGGGAATGTGTTATTTACACCCAACTGTTTTTTTTTTAATTTTATTTAACATTTGAACACGCAATGTGCACTTGGAGCCATGCTATTTTAATAGCCATTATATTATTCAATGCGATGAATCAATGCTAGAATGTTCCGGAGCAAAGCGTTGCTTATAATCATAATTGACAGCATGTTAATTAGCAATTTCACACTTTTTTTTTCTTCTTCTCTTCTCTTCGTTGTATTGTGTCTATCTGTCATTGTCGAGATTTCACTTTCGTCTGCCATTGAAATTTCTCGCACGAATATTTGATGATTAAAACGGCGCGACAATCAATTTTCTTCTTTTCAAACATATTATGTCACTGTATTGTGAAAATCTGCAACGCATATATTGTGTACAAGTGCACAGACGGTCGCATAATTCTGTAATGAGTATATTTGTCATACATGCATCGATTTTATGTTACAATTCAGTTGCAGTTATGCCATCCACTTGAAAGTGTTCAAACACTTGGGTCGGCTACCATTTAGAAATAACTAATACGTACAATGCGCTCATGCCATTTCAAGTTCAAGTGTCTTTATGCAAACTACGGCCTTTTCTTCTTTTCTTTTCTTTGCGGTAATTTTTTGCCCTTGGTCGTTCTCAATTGGTTCTCTTTTTTTTCATCATCTCTGTTAATATAATAGGAAGCACTTGAGGTTGACAATTCACTTTGTTCGTTTCGATTTTGTATGTGTGCACACTAGGCATAGATACCTTTGTGTTTAAAATCAAGTTATTATTTGCTTGAACAGATGTGTCACTTTAAGATGCATTTGAATCGGATTCATGTCAGTTCAATATTATCATGATTACGATGGTTTATGGTTTTTTTAAAGAATCAAAACAAATGTATTACATCAATAAATTTTACGGATATGTTTAAAACAAGACAAGTCGCTCAAATAGGATCAAATTTATTTTGAGTTTGAACAATGTTCATTCTCATTTTATAAGTATATTGTCATTAGATGGATGTCATAACACCTTAAAATCCCTCCAAATAATAATTGGAAAAACCGACGCTTTAGATAAAATGTGTGACCGTTGAGAATTCGTCCATTTAAGATGTGTGGGCAGGAAGAAGGACTTAATGATGAAACCTAACAACGTGAAAAAAATGCAAAAGAAAAAGCCATCGAATTCGTTGAATCTTAAGTACTTATACAGAAAATTTCCATTTTCTTCTATGAATAATAACACTAAGCGGATTTGTCATTTTTATGAGCAATGCTTTTTTTATGCTTCGTCGTCGTCATCGTCTTAAGAACAACAAGGAATGAAAAAAAAATAATTCATTTGACGCATTTTTTCTCATTCAATCCC